CCACCTCCTCCACCTCCCCCACCCCCAGTTGTACTTCATCCCACTGCTCCATCTCCTGCTCAAGCAAATGCTGTCTTGGCTCCAGGAAAATCAAACTCAGCTGTATCTCAGACACTCAGTTCTGGCTTCCTGGGTCCTAACATTCTGAGCCCAGTGTTGCCTGTAGCCTTCAAGGCCTCAGCACAGCCAGCTACCATTCCTTCTGATGAGACAGCTCCTGGGGTGAGTGAGAGTGACCGGGATCAGACTCTGTTCTCTATGTTAGTTCGTCCTCCCCCACCTCTCTCAAGTGTGTTCAGTGAACAGGCCAAAAAGGTGGAAAAGCGAAATTCATGCTTAGCCACAGCCAATGCTAAGGATCTGTATGACATATTCTATAGTAGCGGTGGAAAGGGGACCCCTGAGACTAAGCTGAGTAGTGGTCCATTGGCCAATGGGGAAAATAGCCACCTCCCTAAAATTGAAAATTCACATACCTCTTCCAGTTCTCTCCTGACCAGCAGTGCATCCCAAAAGAAACTGCCTCAAGAGAGAGGGTTGGTCACTGCTTCTCTAGTCAGCAACCATGAAAATCCCATTGTAGAATCTGTGATGTGTGTAGGGAAGAAGTCAGTTGTAAAGGAAATAGAACCAAAAAGCAGAGACTGTAGCTATAGTTTCTTACAGCCTCTGACGAGGTTGTGCCAAAACAGGCCTTATAAAACTACTACCCCAAAGACAGACACTTCAGCAACATGGACTTCTAACTCTTTCCAGAGTGATGCTGATAGGAATCTAGCTCTAAAGGGGCAAATTGAACTTGACCTGGGAGAGCCAGGGCCCCCTGGTATAGACCCAGCTCCTCAGCTGTCAGGTATACACTGTCATACTAAGGAGTCTCAGAAATTGGTAGAAGTTCACTTCATAGGTTCTGGTAACCAATATAAGGAAAGCCAAGAGCTCCACAGCTGTAAGGATTATGGAGAAAGTGAGATAGAGACAAACATTGAACTAAAAGGAAGGGTAGCAGTTAAAGAGGGAGCAAGTGCCAACACTGGGCCCCATAGCATAGAAGATTCTAATTTGAACCATGGGATCAGATATACGTGGGAGGGAGAAATAGAACAGCCAGAGTTACTAATGATTGACAAAGAAGTTGAACAGTCTAAGAAATTAATGACAGGACACGAAACTCTAAGTAAAGTAATCATTGAATCGAGTGCACAGGCTCTCTCTTCTACAGAGGCAAAAACAGACACATTTCCATCAGAAGACAAGTCTTTACTCCAGCATTCACAAGATAAACGGGGGAAATTTTCCACTCCAGAATTGCTTCAGTATCCAACAAGATCAGATGCATGTTTAACAGATAGTCCCTGGGAGCAGGGAGTTTCAGGTGGTAGTGAAGAGTGGCTAGAAAATTCAGCTGCAGAATCAGCTTCCAGAACTTCTAGGTACAGACATTTCAAACTCCAGAGAGAATTGTCGAAAGATTTTCAAGGTAAAATGATCTATGAGCTGGCCATTTGGGATGAGAACAAGAGCCCAGAAAAAACTAAAGTGGAAACTGTAAAGCTACAAAATGTTCATCCAGAATTAACAGCAACAATAGAAAGCAAGGCCTTAGCAGACCTTGAAGCTACACACTTAAAGGACCTTGGTGCCCTGGGGAACCTGGGAGATATGCACGTTGATATCTGTGATACTCGGGTAGACCTAGGACACAGACCCCCAACTGCGCTGTCTCGGAAAGCGTGTGAAGAAAATTCTGTATCATCTACAGGATATAGTTCTACCTGCAGTGACTTTGAAGCAGTCTCATCTTTTTCTGGGTTTCCATTAGTTTCTCCCAAAACCCTGGTGCTTAACTTTGCAACAGAGGGTGAACACAATTCCTCTAATTCCAGAAGTGTGAGGATCACTTCTCCCAACATTGTGAAAACTGGACTTCCTACAGAAAAAGTTGACTGTGGCTTGGGCAGCCTGGAGAGAACACATCAGGCCCTTGACCTCTTGTCAGGGGGAAGGCTGCATGAAGAAGTAGAAGAAACTTCCCAGTTACAGAAGCAAGAGTCACTCAGGTTGGAATCAGAAGCACTTAGTCCTGCAGGCCTTGGGCCATCTCCTTGCCTTCCAGATCTCGTTGACTTTGTCACACGGACATCTGGCACTCTGAAAGAGAAACTGTGTTCTCCATTCTCTGGTCCAGATAACTTTCCTAAATATAGCTCCCTGGATATGGGACCACTACAGCTAGAAATCCCGAATGTCTCCATCAAAGAGGTAGCAGTTTTTCAAGTAGATGAGGACAATGACAACCCTTTGAATGTGGTCAAACCTCCAGAGTCAGCATCCCCTTCAGGGGAGCAGGTAGATGGAGGCAATATGGTCCCTGAGAAAATGGCTGAAGAAGAAGCTGCAGTTGATCCCTTCCAGAACCGAACAGAATCCAGGGTTCATGACTAAACGTCCAGGGCTCCTTGTGGATGAACCAAATTGGCTTCTAGAAATTGTATGCCCAGATGATCTAGGACTGGTTGGCAATCTCATCTGGAACCTACACCATGAGATGCAGTCAACATCTTACAGTAAATATTTATAGAAACTAAAAAATGTACCTCCTTTCCTTTTTTCCTTTCCCCTTAAAATACCAGACAAATCAATCATAACTTCTGTATCTGTAAAAAATATTTTCTGTTAATTTTTTTTATCTTTTCCAAATTATTTTCTCCTACTTTGTCATTAAAGTCAAATGTCTGTCTGCTCACCACGTAGTGTGCTTTGATTGTATTTTGGCTTTGATGCTGCCATTTCTGAAATGTGGGGGAGGAGGGAAACAGAACTGACTTGTCCAATTGCTGTGTTGTATTCCTACCAAATTTCCTGGACAATTGATGGATCTTTGGGAGAAACACCAGAAAGCTTGTTGAAATGGAAAGCTTCTACTAATAAAGGAAGAATTGTTCGTCTCTAGGCTTCCATTTGGATGGGCCTGCCTTAACATTGTTTGAAATGCAGCGTGAGTAGCCCTTTTGTTTATTGTTTATTTACTTCCCTTATTGGCATGTCAGCTCCCATACTTCCCTTCTTACTCTGTTGCTGTTGCTTGAGATGGTCCTGCTTGGCCCAGAAGCCTGTTTGGAAATGGTCTCAGTAAACTTGGAAGGAAATGGTCTCAGTAAAGTTGGAAGAAAATCTGGCAGACTCAATTTTGGAAGACAACAAATCGGTAAGACTTATTCATGCATGGCCCAATCCCAGGAGCAGATTATTTTTGAGGAATCACTTTCATTTTTAAAATGACATTTGCTCATTGTACTGTGCTCCAGTAACACTTTGTATTAAATTGTTTAGCAATCATTTCTCTTCTGAAGAGGCAGAAGATCTGAAACTCATCTTGAGATTGAACTCATTCTGTTCCTCAAACCTATATGTATCCCTTTATCTATCTACCTCTCCCTTTCCCAAGTTATTTCCACCACAGTGTGATGTTTTGGGTTGTACATTTGTTAAAAAGATTAAAGAATTTGTAAGTTGGTTTGAACATGTTTAACTTTATTTTAATGTGTTAATTTTATGGAATAAATGCATTACTCTCATGTTTCTTTCTGGATTGTTTTGAAACCACACACATTTGAACTTCAAAGAAAAACTAGAATAGTGAACCCCTACTGCCCTGTTTGTTCCTGCCTTCATTTTTTTCCCACTTGTCAGAGTTCCTTCCTTCCTAAAAAAAAAAAAAAGGTTAGATAGTCTATGCCCCTGTGCTGCCAGATATGTGGTGAAAGGCCTCAGTGGTCTGGTATTGGTTTCTTCTTATTGTGAAGCTATTATATACCCTTGTCTTGGCTCAGGCTGTTCTAGGAACTGAGATTCCTGGGGACATTCAGGTTCGCTGAGGGTCCTCCTAGGAATCGGAGTCAGTCCTCAGATTTTCTAATCTCTGTCTCAGTTTCTTTCTGCCAGCCCTGTTGTCAGCAATTTGTAACCTGGCTGCTCAGCATATTTTTCTGAGTCCTTTTCTCCCACCTATTTCTCAAAGGTAATACTAGTTTTATTCTCAGAATTATTTTTTTCCTTATTTCCATGTGTACAGAGCTGTAGAATCCTTACACAGAATTTCAGGAAATTTTAATATTTCTAGAGCCTTAATGTCAATTTAGAAGTCATCCTGGCCCCTCTTCATGTTGTAGAAAGGGTATAGATTTGAGAGAACTAATCATTGAATATGCCTTCACCATTTGCTGTAATTTTGGACAAGTTGCTTTATCTCACTGTGTCACAGGGTTCTTTTAAAATGAGGGTCAGTATCCCCATCTCAGCACCAAATGTTTACAGGGTTAGGCTGTCCTGAGTAATCTCTAGGCTTACTTTTTCACCTGTAGACAATTCAGCACTCTCTTCTGACCTGGAAATCACAGACCGACTTTATTTATTTGGTTTTTTTGTGACAGGGTCTCACTATGTAGTTGAGACTGACCTAGAACTTACTGTGTAGCACAGGCTGGTCCCAAACTCAGTGCTCCTTCTGCCTCAGCCTCCTGAGTGCTGGGATTACATGTATGTGCTACCGTGCCCAGCCACAGACTGACTTTAAAAGCTATCTTTTAATAGAGCGTAAACCCCTGAGTTTCAGAGAGATTTGTTTTCTCAGTTATTTCCTTCCTATCTTGGGATGTTATATAGGAATTTTGGGAACATATGAGTTAAACACTAGTTTGGCCAAGCATAGTGGTGCACACTCATAGTCCCAGCACTTGGGAGGCTGAGGCAGGAAGATTGCTATGAGTTTGAGGCCATGAGTTTGGGCTACCTAGTGAGTATAAGGCCAGCTTGACCTACATAGCTAGACCTTGCTTAAAAAAAAAGTTTGTGCTTATTTTCAGGCCTGTTTATTAAGTTTGACATCTCTTTGGGGAAAGGTTTAGGAAAAGAAAGTGGAGAAGTTAATCATATGCAGGTCTTAACCTCACTCGGGGAGTTAACCTAGAGTTAGGAGGGGGCCATCTGAGAGCAATGATAAGGGAAAACAAGTAAATTTCAGGAAGGACAACTAATTTGGGTAGATGGGGCTGGAGTACTTAGAGCCGACATTTTGGTAATATAATTTCTGGGTAGCTTCAGGATTTATACCAAAGTTGCCTACTAATCTGGAGCTTTTTTAAGAAGGCTCATTTCTAAGAATTGCAGGAATGGCATTCTTCATATCTGCTCTGAACCAGGAGAGGGAAAACTTAGGATTCCATAGTCTGGGATAGAAGTGTTGCTGCTTTCTGACCCTTTGATAAGAGGGAGAGCTTTTAGGATTCCTTAGTCTGGACAGGAAATGTTGCTGCTTTCTACCCTTTAATGGGTGAAATCTAGCTTTGGAGCTCACGCAGAGAAGCCATATGAAAAGGGGGGGTGGGGTCCTAACCCACTAGTTGGCACAAGAGGCAGGGCATATATCTTTTTATGCCCTCCCATCACAGTACTAAATAAAGTTTCAACTTGGAGACAAGGCACATGCAAGAACAAGCCCTGATCTTTTCATGTAGGTTATATATACTGCAGGTATGTTTTAAATTTCTGCAAACATGAACAATTTTTATTGGACCCCCTCATTTGAGCACAAATTAACATCAGTTATGGTTAAATGTGGGCAAACACATGTACCACATCACCCACATGTACCTAATTTGTATAAATAACCCTCTTAAAATTCCGTTGGTTTTGTGAATGAAGACTTCCTGCCTTGTAAGCTGTCATTTTCCTAATCACAAGGCATGCAATGCTCTTCTGCTAATACTGCTGAGTAATATAGGAAAGCAGTCCCATCTTACCCCATGCCTCAACTCTACAAATCAAAATCCATAAATTGTGGGATGTTTTGGTAGTAGAGCATGCCAATATATGATTTTCTTACCAAGTTTCTAGATTCAGGATCTGAATAAGAATGAATATAGACACACAGGACATATGAATCCAATAGGAATGTTATGTTTTTAAAGGGTGAGGATTCGGACAAGAGATATCCTATAGCAAATGAGGTGGGTTTTTTGTTTTGTTTTGAATAGCTTTAAACTTTGCCTCTCCTCACCTTAACAAGATTTACTAGGTAGGTCCATGGTGAGATCCTAAGCAAAGTCAATGATCTCTGTGAGAACACAGACACATGGAAATAAGGACTAGAAGGATATTTTTTCTTAGAGTTTAATTTTATGTTTTACTTTTTAGCTTAAAAAGTCACGTACGTATACAATATCAGTATTCATTGGTAAACAAGCAGTTGAACTTCACTGAGCATCTACTCTTAAAAAAAAAATTACCATCATCCTGAGCTACCCTCACCCATACTAAGCTCTTGGAAGATAATTCATAAACATAGATATTTATGTTACAGCACTTAACATGGTTATAATTTTACATGTGTGTGTTTCTTTGAATAATACACATCCCACCCCGAATGCATCATAAACTCCAAAGCAGGCATTTGCCTTTGCTTGCTGCTACCTCATCATTGTATTCACAGTGCACAGTTGCCTGGCACATAAGGTGTGCAATAAAAAATTTGTTGTAAAAATCACTGTGGTAATAGCTGTTTTTCTTAACTAAAATTTAGTAATTTATAACAGTAAAAACTGAATTGCTGATTGTAGTTTGTGGTTGCATAGCACTACAGAAGCCAGCTGTCTGTGGTCTGCATACAAAACGACGTCTGTACAATGTATACGTCAAGGCTGCCAGTGGTCCCTGTTTCAACAATATTCTGGAGTAGGGTTACCACCCTAGGAAGGATATACACTGCCCATGCAGCCCCTAGAAGAGAAACCAAGTATGAGAAGGCAGACTGACTTTAGAATTACCACAAAAACAAAGACTTTGAAGGCTCTAATGCTCATACGGCCTCCTTTCTTCCAGTCAGATAAATATGTTGAAGTCGGCCAAACCCTAAATAAATCCCTCTGATTTGGCTGCAGGAATAATTCAACATTTTATGGCACAGCATCCTCTTGTCACCTCATCAAGACTAAAACTCTTTCTGGATGGAAACAGTGTTGTGAAGTTTATCTTGGGAAAATGAGCAATGATTTTACTTTTTGTCTTTTGTGTTGCTACCTTCTGATCATGAAAGTGCATTTTATATAAAAGTAATACCCATAAAATTTGCATGTACATATAAAAATATGTTTATGTCAATAAGGGTCAGCTGGTGCTGCAGAATTATTGCCAAGTTTTGGGAGTTTTTTCTCCTGTATATATTAAAAGAATATTTTAGAGCTGTCTCTTATTTGGTGTGTCATGTCCTCACATTTGTCATCTCTTTTTTTTTTTTTTTTTTTTTTTTTTTTTTTTTTTTTTTTTTTTTTTGTAGCAAGAATCAAATTCAGGACCTTGCACTTGCCAGGCAGGTGTGGTGCCACTGAGCTAAACCCCCAGCCCTCATCTACTTTCCATAGTTACAAATAAGTCCTACCTTTCCCCTCAAGACTTCTAAACCCTTCTGCTGCCTCCCATGCTGGGAAACATAACTTCTTAATCTCCTTCCTTTCTTTCCTTCTCCCTCCCTCTTTTGCCTCTTTTGTTGAGCTGATTGTGCATGTCCACTGATATTCAAATATTTGGTCATTGTATGAATCAAGGCACTTGTTTCCACAAAGCTTGCTTTCATGTTGGAACACAATCTGTTGCATGAAAAAGGGTATATGATAATTTATATCTAGTTATAATGATTTAAAGTTTTACATGATTCCATTCCTTCCATTCATGGGGAATCAGGCAAGAAAGGAGTTTTGTAGAAAATAAGGGAAATGAATATGTTTAAAGAAGTGACTGAGCAGGATTAAAATAAAGGCATAGTTGCATAATCAGAACAAAAGGTAGAGAATGTGGAGAAAGAACGCAAAAAGATAAAATCAACCATACTGAAGTATTACTTTCATCTCATTCTGTCCCTGCTAAGGTTCCATTTAGTTTTCCCATAGCCTATTTGCATAAGAAATATGATCACATTTTTACTGGTTCTCTCTCACCACTCTCCCTTCTTTTTAGGAGCAATTCCAGAAGTCTGCAGATTTACCAAAAGGACTGCTGCAGACATTTCTGCTCCAGGAAGGAAAGGATAGAAGCCGCAGAGACCATGGAAAGGATGAGCATCCTTGTGACCAGTAGGCAATCATCTGTAGGGTCTGACTTCCAGAAAGTGGGTGTGGCTGTGAAAAAAATGCCCTGCCATTTTAGCTACCAGGAAATGGTGAGTTGGATATGTGAGTGATTATATCTGTTTTTGTATCAGCAGAGGAAGACAAAATGAGATGACATAGTGGGTGTGTATTTTAGACTTCCCACTCTATATCTCATTCAACATTGTATAAATTCTCTGTTAAACCTCTATCTCTCCTTTTGTGCTATGATACTTGTATTAAAACTGTGGGCTTCAGGCCTTCCCATTCTTCTATACCTTCAAATCCCTAGCAAGTAGAATATCATCTATCTTGGTTCTCGCTCCCTTAGAAGAATCAAGAGTAAAATTGCAAAAGTCAGAGTAACACTGGATAGGTCTTTAGAGGAGAGTAGTAACAGTAGGCAAAAGAGCCGAAGGGAGGGAGCCAGTCACAAAGGAATGTTTTAAAAAGTCCTCAGATATCAGACTTCAGCATTGTCTACTGGTTTCCATTCAGTTTATACCTCCCCTATACTGTGTCATTCCAAAATACCAAGGAAACACCTGACTCTGTGTCCATCTAAAATTCCAATAGGTGCTTCTCTTAGTCTTCTTTGTACTTGGAACTGTGGGCTTAGCAATCCAGTGGGAATGAGACCCAGAACCCAATAAAACTTAACTGACCTGTAAATCCTTAAAACTCTTAAGATTCATTTACATCTGAGGTGCCCCAGCTCCAGATTCACCGAGAAAACTATTGACCAGGTTTTGTTACTGATTGGTAAATCCAGTCACTTTTAGAGTCCTGGAGGTCTAGTTTACTGCCCAACTAAATCTATGGTTTTGGTAACTTTTAGGAATTCTTGTGATACTGCAAATGTTTTTCTTTAAGCATATAATATATAACCAAAGCCTTCAGTAGAATAAAAGGTAAAGGGTAAAAAGCATCCCAGGGCCTCTTGGAACTGAGATTATGTCCATTAAGGTCTAGTCATTCCTAAAACATGACCTTGTGGGTGAAGCAATGAAAAGCGGCCTAGTGCCCGGGCTGCCAACACTTTGTCACTACCACTTTATCTCTCTTGCTCTAACCTAGTCTGTTTTTCATCAACCATCATGTTATCCTTTCCAGAGACAAGCAAGGGTGTTGGTCACAGGCTGGAATTCAAACTGTGGTCCACATTTATACCTCCATCCCCCGTCTCATAGCTCAGACCTCAGTTCTGCAGTGATGTCTGAAGTGTAAGGCTGAGGCGCACCGATTGGGGAAGTGGGGAAGAGAACATTTTTAATGACATTTTCCACTTTGTACTTCTTTCATTTTATATGTTATAGTTCACCTATAAGTGATGAAATGTTTTAAGATCTACTTTTATTGAACTATAATTCATAAAACAGTAAATTTTACATAACATAAAATTCACTATCTTAAGTATACAATTCTTTGGTTTTTAATACCTTCAAGTTATACAACTACCATTGCCTCTAATTCCAAAATACTTCTATCACTCCTCGCCCCCCAAATCCCCTGATATGCTGTCAGCAAAAACTCCTAATTACCATTACTGTCAAGTTGCTCCTCAGAAGGGCAGTCACTAGTCTGTTTTCTGTCTCTTGGCTTTACCTGTTCTGAACATGAGTCATACAACTTGTGGTCTTTTGTGTCTGACTTCTTTCATTTAGCATAATGTTGTTAAGATTAATCCATACGGTGTCATGTACCACAGCTTCACCGTATTTTACAGTGATATACCATGAATGTATACCATGTTTTGTTTATCCATTAATTGGTGAACATCTTTTGTTGTTTCCACTTTGGGGTGGTTATGAATGACATGACACATTCATGTACAAGTTTTTGTGTGGACATGTTTTCAGTTCTCTTGGGTGTATACCTAAGAATTGAATTGCTATTGGTAATTGTGTAACTTTAAAAAATATTTGATTAAAGTATAATGTTCATATTTTTAAAGCACATAAGTCCAAATTGTTCAGATCTATTTTCATGAAGTAAATATACTTTGGTGATCAATAATTATCATAAAGTGAACATTCCTTCATAATCAACAGCTAGTCAAAAAAATATGACCAATACTACCTGAATCCCATTTCATATTCTCTTCTAGTCTCCACTATCCCAAATATAAGCATTGTTGTGATTGCTGCCTCAGGTGCTTCTGGAAAAAACTGAGGTGAAATTCATATCATAAAATATGTGATATTTTCATCTTCCCAAATGAAAGCACTGTATCCCTTAAACAGATGGTGATCATTCCCATCTCCCTGCAGTCCCTAGCACTAATCTCTTTTCTGTCTCTATGGGAATACCTGTCCTAGATATTTTCTATAAGTGGAGTCATACAGTATGTGACCTTTTATGTCAGTATTTTTTTTTACCTAGCATAATGGCTTTCAAGTTCATCCAGGATGTAGCAGGTAATAGTGTTTGTTCCTTTTACAGCTGAATTAGTTAGATAGATAGATATCTAGATACATAGATAGATCAATCTCATTCTTCATTCATTAGTAGGCATTTCAGTTTTTTCCATATTTTGGCTATTGTGAATAGTATTGTTGTGACCATTCATATGTATTTGAGTCTCTGAGTTTCAGTTCTTTTCAATATATATCTAAAAGTGGTATTACTAGTATATGGTTATTCTATTTTATTTTTCATGTGGTGCTGCGGATTGAACCCAGGGCTTCACAAATATTAGGTAAGAGCTCTACCACCAGTGAAGCCAACTTTTCTTGTTAGAAGATTTTTAGTTTTGACACAGGGTCTCACTATGCAGTTCAGACTGGCTTTGAACTCCCAGTGATCTTCTTGCCTCAGCCTCCTGAAGGGAGGATTACAGGTTTGCACCACCATGCCCAGCACGTTTTGGTAATTTTTCTGTTTCTAGGAATTTGTGCATTTCATCTGGATTTTCAAATGTATTGGCATACAATAGTTTGTGGTATTCTTAAAATCCTCCACTCAGGAGCAAGATACTCTTTGCAGCCTCAAATTCCCATAATCCTTAAAAGTTTTTATCTGGAAATTAGAGTGTCTTTCCTTATAATACCAGAGAGTCATGGGGAGGATGCTGATTAGTCTAACTTGAGACATATTTCTATCCTTGAACAGTTACTGTGGCCAGCCAGGTGGATAGAGCACTTAGACTAGGCCCAGGTCACGAGTACTCCAAGGAAAGGTCTACCTCACTGGACTAAGTGGAACCTGGAATGGGGGTAAGTGAGGTTTTCCAAATGAAATGTTTCTAAGTGGAAACTTTAAATGTCCACTGTGAAGCTGAAAAGATTCAGTGCCCTCTTTATGTGTAGATTTTATTTCTGGGGGCTTTTTATCAAGAGGTGAGTGTTCAAGTTCTCCCCTAGAACAATGCCTTTGGGGAGGGGATGGTCTTGATGGGAGAATAGTGATAACAGATAAAGGCTTTAATGCCCTTCCTATTCCAAAAACTTAGGGCATGGGCTGGGATGTAGCTCTGTGGCAGAATGCTGGCCTAGCCTAAAACAAAACAAAACAAAACAGACAAGTTTAGGTGAGAAAATTCCCAATCATTCTGCTTTTTTTTGGTTACAGGGGATTGAACTTGGGACCTTCTGCTTGCGAGGCAGGTGGCAGAATTACTGAGCTAAATCCCCAGCTGTACTTGGAAAGAGGATGGAACTTATTTGACTTCTGATTCTGTGACCTTGAGCTTCATACACGAAATGAAAGCCTCCTCCAGTGAAAGGTAAAATTTGTATATGTCTGGATTCATAAGATTAACTTGTTTCAGCCACATTAACATAGCTGTAGAAGCTGGAAGGCTTTTTTTTTTTGAAGCAAAACATTTATTGATATATTTTGGATATACATAATGGTAACACTCATAGAGAATTTGCACCTGTACTTGAAATATCTTGCCTCTTCCTCTTTTTCCCATTCCTCTCTCCCCTCAACTCCTCCTCCCTTCTCTATATACAAGCTTTGTTTCTAATTTTTCCTTCTATTTTCACTTTTTTATTGTTCCTTCTTTTCCCGATCCTCCCTTCCTTGTTCCCCTTCCCATTTGAACATTTTCTTCCCATTTCCTAATATCTATTATACATTTTAGTCCTTATCCACTTTCAGTTTGTCACGTCAGAGAAACAATGCGGTATTTAAATGTGTGTCTGATTTATCTCACTTAAGAGTATGGTCTCAAGGTCCATCCATTTAACTATAAATGTCTCAAGCTCCTCCTTCTTTATGACAGAGTAGTACTACTCTATTGTATTAAAAAAAAAAAAAGCTCCACATCTTCTTTATCCATTTTTCTGTTAATGGGCATTTGGGCTGTTTCCAAGGTTTAGCTATTTACAAACTATGCTTCCATAAACATGGGTGTGCATATATTGCTGTGGTAGGATGCTTTTAATTCTTTTGGGAAGTTACCAAGAAGAAGAATAGCTGGGTCAAATGGAGCCTCTAGTTTTAGTTTTTTGAGGAATCTCCACACTGATTTCCACAGTGGTTTCACCAGTCTGCACTCCCACCAGCAGTGGAGCAGGGTTCCTTTTTCCCCACAGCCCCTCCAGCATTTGTCATTGGTTGATTTCTTGATAACAGACTTTCTGGAGTGAGACAGAATCTCACATTGTTATAATTTACATCTCTCAAATGACCAGTGAATTTAAGCAATTTTTCATATATTTATTTGCTATTTCTACTTCATCATCTGAGAAATGTCTGTTCATTTCAGTTGCCCATTTTTGGATTGGGTCTTTAAATTTTGGCGGGTGATCTGGTTTTTTAGAGTTCTTTTTATATTTTAGATATTAGTCCTTTGAGGAATAGCTGGTGAAAATTTTTTCCTACATTGTGGGTTGTCACTTCACTCTGTTGATGGTTTCTCTCACTGTGCAAAGCTGTTTTTGCCGGGGGTATATGGGGATCAGTGGCATCATTGAGCTAAATCCTGGCCCATACAAAGCTTTTTAATAAGATGAGATCCCAGATGTTGATTCTTTGCAATAGTTCCTGTGCAATCAGGGTTTTGTTAATGTCTTTGCCAACACCAATGTCTTTGAGACATCTACCTATTCATCTTGTAGCAGATCAATTATTTGTTTTAATATTTAGATCTTTGATCCATTTCAATTTTAGTTTAGTGTATAATGAAAGATGCGGGTCTAGTTTCAATCTTTGACATGTGGAAAGCCAGTTTTTCCAACGCCATTTATTAAAGAGTCTGTCTTCCTGTGAAGGTGTTTGGCTCCTTTGTCAAAGGTAAGGTGGCTGAGTTTGTCTGCAGTTGTTTCTGCATCTTCTAATCTGTTCCATTGATCCTCAGGTCTGTTTTTTTTGCCAGTGCCATGCTGTTTTTATCACAGTAGCTTTGTAGTACAATTTCAAGTCAGGGATTTTGATGTCCCCTGTGGAAGACCTATTTTTGTATATGATAAAAAAAAGTCCCTCCCTAATCTTAGTATGAAGGTAAGAAGTTTCTACTACTTTACAACTCCAAGGAGCATTCCCATCACCTCAAATTTATAGGCAAGTTTCCTCCTTTTTCCTCAGTTTCCAGTATAAACAAACATTTTCATTCTGAAACTTACTTAGAGGCAGTTATCTTTACATACTGTCAGGTGAAATGTACATTTCCAAGTAATTCTTTATTTGTTTTGTTTTTTGATACCTGAAACTTACTTAGAGGCAGTTATCTTTACATACTGTCAGGTGAAATGTACATTTCCAAGTAATTATTTGTTTTGTTTTTTGATACTAGGGATCGAACTCCGGTCCTTGCACATGAGAGGCAGAACCACTGAGCTAAATTCCCAGCCCTCCAAGTAATTCTTGAAAAGCCAAATCCAACCTTTCTTGGAAAAAATCAAAGCTGTTGCTGGTTTCTTCACATTCATATGGTGAAGGCGGAGGGCTAGAGGGGCTTTCCTGAAATTTGGATTCTGAATTAATCCAATTGATGCTGCTGACTCACAATGCATAAACACAGAGACCTGAGCAGCTGAGTACTACTGGCTATAGAGAGAGTTCTCTCAGAGGTTCATGGCAAGGTGATGCTGGGAATCAAGAAAATCTGACCGTCTCCCAGAGCCGTAGATGATACGACAGCAGTTCTCTACAGGTAGGGGATTCATGTGTTTCTAAGAAAGCAAACTCAGTCTTTTTCTGTTCTGCTGTATGTGGTTTTGTTGTTTTGGTGCTAGAGTTTGAACCCAGGGCCAGGCACGTACTAAGCATGAGCTCTACTACTAAGCTATACGGCCAGCCCTGTTTATTTGTTAAGTAATATAAACTACAGAAAATGAAGTTTTCTAGTTGAGGGAAAAATACAATGAGAAAGCACAAGGTTTAAAAGTAATAAAGGTTTCAAAACTCCAAAAGTACAAAGAAATAAGACTATTTTTCATTGACTTACCAGAACTTAGTGATTTTTTTCTTTGAGAAGTATCTAGGAACAAAGCTCTTGATGCCATAAAAGTCAATGGGGTTGGGGCTGGTGAGGAGCAAGGCCCTGGGTTCAATCCCCAGTACCACAAAAATAAAACAAAGGTCACAAGCATATGATACTGTACTGGAACAAGTCTACAAAGACATAGAGTAGATGGAATTTATAGTAGCAAACCTACCCCGAAATAGCAGCCATATATAAAAGGTGCTGTAAAGTTTCTCTAACACTTTGCCACGTTCTCTCATTTGCCATGTACTTAATGATAGACATAAATTGTGCTACATAGTAATTATGCTCAATTAGCAAGTTCCTGTGAATGACTGTAAATAGTGGGACTGGCTTGCTGCCAAAGCAAAGTTTCAGTTTAAAAAAAAAATTGTATCTTGTATTTATGATCAAGATATCAGTTTAAATCATATTCCCCATTTTGCATCACACATGTTGATCTTCATGGATATTAGGAAACACGTTCCTAAGACCTTCTGCCTAGGTAGCTGAGCTTCACTCCAGGGTTTTGTTGTCAACTCTCCAACCATACATCCCCTCCCACTCCTACATCTCTCTCACACTCACACTGGGGGGCTTGAGTATACCACTGAACACTGGTCTGTTGAGCATTGTGCGCCAGGAGCTGAGCAAAACACTGAAAATACAGTGGTTGGCAGGGCAGCCCTAGTCGCAGACTAGATTGGACTCTCCCTGCGTGACATCTCTGCCTTTATTGGTGGCAGAGGTGCCACACGACTTTCTGTCAGCCTTTGTTTCCTCATTTGGTTCAGCACCCAGACAGGGAAGCAGAGCTGTCATGGATTGGGCCCCACAATGCCCTCCAGCAGAGAACAGTGCTGTAGGTGTGAGTGCCTGGGCCCAGAGCCTAGTACCGAGCAAAGGAGGGCAAGCTTGGGTTAGCAGGAATTGCTAAGGTGACATACAGATGCTGTCATACAGCATGTGGCCTTTTATGTGTGGCTTTAATGTTTTGTACTTCCTTTTCGTGGCTCATATCTGGCATGTGGATGGATATACCACATCTTGTTTATCCACTTGCCATTTGCCAGGCTTTGGCTATTGTGAATAGTGCTGCTTTGAGCATTTCCGTGCTCATTTCTCTTAGGTGCCTCTTGGGTGACTGGCAAGTGCTGTGGTGACTCTGTTGGACACTTTGAGGAGCGGCTAGACTGTTGTCCAAAGTGAGTACCCAGGTGAAGGGAGGGCAAGGGGAAGGGGAAAAATAAGAACTAAGAGATGTCATGTAAAGGTACAAGAACCCAATGATAAATGTGACTGTATTGTTTGCTTTAAATGTACCAATAAACTTAACGCGGGGAAAAAAAAGTGAGTACCCCACTTAACACTGCCACCAACAGCGTATGAGGGATCCAGTATGGCCACGTCCTTGCATCCCTCCCTTTTTATTGTTGTATTATAGGTTAGTCACACATCCTTGTTACTGGACTGTTAGCAGATATGTGCTCACAAATAATTTCTTTGTTTTACCAGAAAGTTCCTTGGAGTTCTTTGCAGCATTAGTGGGCCGCTCTCCCTTCTCCCAGTACTGGGTATTGAACCAGGAGCCCCGCTGCTGTTAGGCACTGCTATGCTCTACCACAGAGCTACTTGCCAGGCTTGAGACAAGGTCTTGGTAAGTTGCTCAGGCTGGTCTCAAACTTGTGATCCTCCCGCCTCAGCCTTTTGACTAGCAGGTATTACAGTTATTCCATACCTGGCAGGTGGGCTACTTTTAATATTTTAAAATCTTTAAGTAGAAATATGTGATTAGTGTTTGAGTATATTTCAAATAAACATTTTAATGTTATGAGCAGCCATTGATCTGTGCAGACCCTGTTTTGACGCATCTTGGTGAGAGCTATGGTTCCCTTGGCTTTTCCACGCGGGTGCTGTTAAGCTCATGTGTGTGAACACATCTGATTCTCATGACCTGTGCGGCAGATGCTGCTGTTGCGATGCGCACTGTGTGGATGAGGACATGAGGCAGAGGAGCCGGGCACCACCTGGTGTGGGAGGCAGCCCGAGATGGCCCGAACTCTGAGCTCTCCACTGCTCACTGGACTGTCCGAAAGGAATTAACCCTGCCGGAACGCCCACTGCTTGGCTTAGAGAGCGAGAACAGTGTTTCCACCATATCTGCCTAGGGACGCTGCTTTTCCCGAGAGCCACACTAGGCTTCATCGCTGCCCCGCCTCACACGACAGCGCCAGGACTGGCTCAGCGCTCAGCGGCAGCCCGGGCTCCTCCCCGAGGGTCCGGCTTGCCCACCCCCGCCAGGGAACAGGGCTCCTTTTCTGGGGTCTGGGACAACCGAAGGCTGTGGGCGGGGCTGTGGGAGGGCGGGACCAGCCCGCTGCGTGGGGGCCGGTGTGGTAGCGACTGCCAAGACGGTGGAGCCATGAGCTGGAGCTGCCCGCGCTGCCTGGAGCCTGTGTACTTTGGTGAGGCCAGGCGTGTGAGGGGGGTGTGCATGGGCCGGGGGTGCAGGACGGGTCCAGCTGGCCGCAGACGCAGTCGCAGCCTGGCACGGTCCCCTCCTTGCCCAGTGCGCGGGCTGTGGATGCAGGAATCCCGAGTGAGCGGCTAGGTATTCCAGGCTGAGGGAGAAGTGGGGTCCCCACTCCGCAGCTGCCCACCCTGTCCCCTGTAGCAGAGAAAGTGAGCTCTCTGGGTAAGAACTGGCACCGCTTCTGCCTGAAATGTGAGTGCTGCCACAGCGTGCTGTCCCCAGGAGGGCATGCAGAGGTGAGTGGGTCGAGATTCAGCCCCATGTCATATCCCACCCCAGACCCCAACTCAGGGCCACCCACCGCCAGGGCTGGGATCCACAGTGTGCCCGGACCCCATGGCCTGCTCTGCCTACCTGGTCCATAGTGGAGGTTCTGTCAGGACACCCCTCCCTGCCCCAGCCCGTCTTGGCCTGAGTGACCCCCTTCCCTCTGCTTTGCCCAGCACAACGGGAGGCCCTACTGCCACAAGCCATGCTATGGGGCCCTCTTTGGACCTCGAGGTGAGTACCAGCCTAGGAGGGCCAGCACAGGACCCACCCTGCCCTGCCCTGCCTGTGATCCATCAGCCTGGCCTCCCTGCCCACCTTCTCCCTGCAGGGGTGAACATCAGTGGTGTGGGCTCCTATCTCTACAATCCCCCCACGCCCTCCCCTGCCAGCACCACCCTCCTCAGCCCCAGCAGCTTCAGTCCCCCCAGGCCGAGGACCAGCCTCCCCCAGGACAAGAAAAGTAAGTGAGGTCGGTGGCAGCCTTCCCTGTGCCTCCTCAGGACCCTAATAGGTCTTCTTGTCCCACCCCTGCACCTCTGTCTCTGCAGTTTTCTCCCAGGCCCCTTCTCTGTTACTCCCTCAAGTCAGCTACCAAGTTTAACAGGTAGAGTGGACAGATGGCATCGTCACCTATTCTATCTTTGAGGCATCTGTGGTCTAGAGAGGGCAAGTGACCTGGCGTAGTCACACAGCACAGGACATGGCTTGGGAGTAAGATCTACAAGTGAGGGGTCATGGGCTGGGCTGGCGGTGGGCTCTTCACTTCTCTCCACTGTCCCTGTTCCTCTGCTGTTCCTGAGTGGGCAGTGACACTGTGCTCCCAACACCTGACACCCTGCCCTGGCTGGCTCCTTTATCAGCTCAGGTTTCCCAAGGATTGAGTTGCTGACAGGGCTAGGCTGGTGGCCCCGACAGGAGGCAGGTGGTCCCTGATGCAGAAGGGACTGGGCCCATGGCCTCAAGGAAGGTGGGTGGGGGCCACCTGGGTAGGGCTCTGGGACAAGTAAGCATGGGTTTGGGGAGACGATGCCATGGCAAGCAGGTGCTATGGGCCTCACTGGGGCCTCTCCCCACCCCGAAAGTCCTGCCCTGCATGAGGACATTCACAGGAGAGACCTCCCTTTGCCCTGGCTGTGGGCAGCCTGTCTTCTTTGGTAAGTGACAATGGAGAGCTTGAGGCGGGGACCCTGGGTGGGCAGCAGAGGCAGGGAAGAAGTGCCACTTCTCTCCACCACCAGCCGAGAAGGTGATGTCTTTGGGTAGAAACTGGCATCGACCCTGTCTGAGGTGCCAGCGTTGCCAGAAGACCCTGACTGCTGGGAGCCATGCTGAGGTGGGCAGGGGAGGGGTGCTGTTGGGCTGGGATGAGGATACAGGTGCTGGGAAGAAGAGCACCAGGCTGAGAAATTCTCATCTGTCCATGTTCCAGCATGATGGTGCCCCCTACTGCCACGTCCCCTGCTATGGCTACCTGTTCGGGCCCAAAGGTGGGCAGCCTCACCCCAGACCCTGGGCCTAGAGTGTGGCGTGTACGTGGGGTGGGGGATATGTGGACAACTTCCTTCCTCTGCAGCCACGCAAACCCCTGCCCCTCAGTTCTTTCCAGCCCTCACCCCCCGCACCAGCGTAAAGCCTATGGTGATAGGGCTCTCTCTCTCAGGTGTGAACATCGGCAAGGTGGGCTGCTATATCTATGACCCAGTGGAGATAAAACCCAAATGAGCAGCTCCCAGGAGAAGTCACCCTAATGCAGGCTTCCTGCCACCCCTCCATGGTCCAGTGGGGGCTATGATTTCTTTCTCGGGTCCTGTGGGGTACAGAAAGGGACCCTGGGTCCCTGGGCCTACGCTCCATGGTAGGCCAGAGTCTACTCTAGACTTTTTCTGCCAATTCTTGCGTTTCCCATTCCCACTTGGTTAGGGGGCACAGGCCATCCCCACTATGAATGACGCCGCCCCCGCCCAGCCTTCTCATCTCTTGTCCCAGCAAATTCTGGGGCTTAAAGATACTCATCAAACTTTTGTTTATTGTGCCTCAGCCTCTCTGGCTTCTCCAATAAAATGTTGGCTTTTATGCCCTCAGTTCCTTGGGCACCAGGGTAGACATTCTGTTGGATGGGAGTAGGGGTCCCTGGAGAGTGGCTTGGAGGAGGCAGGGCTAGCCTGCCCTGGCTGTGCTTCTGGTTCCCCTGGCCCTGGCATTGGACAGCCCCCAGCACTATACAGGGGACAACATGGGACATCCCTTCTCCAGTGCCATCTACAAGAAGCACCTTGTTCAGTTGAGCAAAACAGATGCTGTGGTGAGGTCAGCTAAGATGCTTCATCATCATGATTTGGGAGATGAGCAGACTGAGGCCCAGAGAGGGAAAGCAACACACCCAAGGTCACACAGGAAATTGTTGGCAATTTTGAGATCAGAGCCCAAAGCCAATTCAATGGCTTCCCATCTAGGGCTGTTCCCAAAACTACTCACTGCTGCCGCCACCTAAGAGGCACCTTTATTCACAGAATCCTCCCAGCCCCATGAGGGGTGCCCAAGATCTCCTGCAGACTACTGCTTCCTGGGAAGTGGTCCTTTTGCTGATGACTAAATAGTTAAGTCTGGATGTGTACAGGCAGGGGTTCCCATGGCAACTCCAGCCCTGGGCAGAGGGGTTTGACAGCCCCAGCTTGGGTCACAAGAGCCTGCCCTTCTGTGCTCAGTGCCTGCCACAGAGCTGCTTGTGGAGGTCTGTGCCCAGCCCCACTCAGTTCCGGATCTGCATCTCTTCCTCCTGAACACTGGGCAGGGCACTGGGGAGGACAGAGGAGGAACAATGTGGGGTTAGAACTTGCTGCCCTGGCCTCCCCCCACTCCTGGCAGATACACTGTACTCCCACAATGACTCACACATGCCTGTACACTTCCCGATGTGCAAGCACGGCACAGTGCACACACAGCCCTCTCCTGAGCAGCCCGAGGGCGCTCTGTGCGCGAGTGTACAGACCCACCTTTTCCCTCAGGGCCTGGGCTCACTCGTGCACACTCAAACGTGCCCCAGGTACATCTGAGCAAGGGGCAGGTCGCCAAGCACCTGCACCAACACACACGTGCGCACACCTTGTTCTCTCCACGTCCTGGATGGTCTCTGGCAGCTGTGCCCTCTTGGTCTCTGGCAACAGGAGGGTAGTGCAGGCAGCCAGCAGAGCGATGCCCCCGTAGGCAATGTTGGGCAGTGGCAGCCACACTCCGTCCAGCAAGGCCGCCAGTGGGGCCAAGGATCCCCCCAGCCGGCCCACCAGTGAGGTCAGCCCTAGCCCTGTCTGCCTGTTCAGAGGGGAGCAGGGAGGCAGCTGCTTCTCACTCTCCTTCTGGCCACCCCTGCCTCACCAAGCTCCCTCCTCTGCCCCTTTCCCCGACACCGCCCACCCATTCCCAGGCCAGGAGCCCCCAGGCCAGTGTCACCAGAGTGCCAGTCAGATGCGACCAAGAGAGAAGAAAAGCTACAGACGGGATGGGAAGGAGCAGCGTGGAAGAGCAGCTTGCCCGAACGCTCCCATGTCAGAAGCGCCCACGTCTTTCTACAGAAACCCAGAAGCACTGCGCCCCCAGCTGCCAAGAGCCCAAGGGCGGTGGGCTGGGCTCCAGACAGCTCAGCCCGGCCAGCAATAAACCGGACAGGGCGGGCAGCATGGGGCTTTCTGAGACTGTTTTCCTCCAAAGCAAGTTGAGAGAGGTAGTCCGACCTGGCTTAGGACCGCACCGTACGGAAGACGAAATGCCCCACCCACTCCAGGATTTGAGTCAACACAGCCCAGATCGGGGCTCTGTTGGTAGAACGGGGAGGGACTAACAAGCTTGAGCCCGGGTCAGTTGCCTGGGACCCTGCTCTCTGGCTCCCTCACCTGAGCACTGTAGGGTACAGCTCTGATGTGAACAGGTAGGCCGTGGTGAAGGAGGCCTCAGAAAACGCTTTCCCCATCACGGTCAGGGCGGTGAGCCAGGATTTGGTCTCTGAAGGAAAAGGGTTTCCGGAAAGGGAGGGAAAAGAAAGAGGAGCGCCTAGGATGCGAGCGGAGTCTTTGCAAAGGATGGTGGAGAACGAGGGGAGGGGCGTTTCCATAGGAGGCAGAGCCGTCGTGGGCGGGTGTCCTTCACAGGAGGCAGGGTGGACAGGATCCGGGATTAAGTGTGGGCCCTAAGGAGGTGGCTGTGTTTCATAGGAGGTGGAGCCATTGTAGGACAGGCCCCTGGTGGGCAAATTTTTGCAGGAGGCGGGGCTATGGAGGCGGGGCCAGGCTGGGCGGGGCTCACCCGAGGGAACTAGCAGTCGTAAACCGAAGGACAGCGCAGTGCCCACCAGCGTGCCCACCTCTGTGGGCAGGCGCCCCATGTAGCGCACTGACAGGTAGACCACCAGTTTGGAGGGTATCTCCACCGCCCCGAAGAGCAGCTGTCTCTGGAACACAGTCAGCCCGAGCCCGGACAGGTCCAGCGTGAGGCCATAGTAAGAAAAATTCACCCCAAACCTGGAAGGAGCAGCAGCACCACTCAGGGGCCCATCTCACCCCTTTGTTCTCTCTGCTGTGGAACTTTGCACTTTTAGGGGAACGATCTGTCCTTTCTGAACCTGCTGCCTGGAACTTCCGCCACCCATGAGCCGTCTGAGCCTAGGATATGCCAGGGCCAGAGGGCTATGACCCCTCTCTTCACCAGTGGTCCATTTTACAGTCATGGAAGGGACTCACTAGGGCCACGCAGGGAAGATGCAGAGCCTGAATTTGAACTCCTCTGCTGCCTGCTCCATCTACATCTTCCCCAGCCAGATGCCTCCTCCTTCCCCCAGGGACCCCAGATCCCTCCTCACCACATCATCATGCAGCACAGAGAGATGTGTCGCAGCCGCGGTGTGCGGAACAGATCCAGGTAGGAGGGTCTCCGGACCACCCGCTCAGCTGATGCCACTTTGCTCAGAGCCTGCGGGGAGGAGGAGATGCTGTGGCTCAGAGTTGCTCTCAGCAGGCTCGTGGGGTTTCCACTGTGTCTCTCTGGGTCTCTGGCAGAGTTGGAGGGGCACAGGGAGCTTTGAGGTGGACCCTGAGTGAGGTGTATATCTCCCAGGCCAGACAGGATGTCATAGTGTGTTTGGAGCTCTGCCCTGGGGACCAATGCTTTTCCTACCACCTGTGGGGTCTCTTGAGAGGGCTACTGGACACGGTCCCTCCACACACATCTGCACACACAGCCTCACCTCCACGCTCAGGCCATCCTCGCCCACAGGGCGCCCATTGAGCCTGGCACAGCGGAGCAAGTAGCTCTGGGCCTCCTGCACATGGCCCTGGGTCAGAAGCCAGCGTGCAGACTCAGGCACCCACCTAGGGGACAGCAGGAGGCCCTTCAGTCAGAGTCAGCACCATTAACCAAATCTCTCTCCTGGCCCATCACAGCCAGTCAGCTTCTAGGTCAGTGGTGCAAACCTTTTAGAGAGGAGTGCCCAAACTGCAACTCAAAACCCACTTACTTATCCCAAATACCAGGCGCTTCAATTAAACCGGAATACTGAGGTTTTTGTTTAGAAAAAAACAACTCACACATTAACATCTATTGTCTTGAAAGAGAAACAACACATGTGCCTTGCTGGGTTTGCTTCCACTGCACTAGGCTCTCCATCATGCAGTGCCTTTCACCTAAGGTCACCTCCCACTCCCTAGGAGCCCTTAGTATTTCTCAGGTCCACTGTAAAAGCCCCCTCTTCTCACACTTCCTCACCCAACCTTTACCCGACTGATTTGTCTCACTCCCCAAACCTTAGCTCCCAGCACCAGCCAAACATTTCTCCCCCAGGGCACAAAAGGGACAGACATACTGAAGTCCAGAAAGACCAGCTAGAGCCAGGCCATCTTGGGAGGCATAGGAGGTCACCCTGCTTGGCCTCCTGCCCTGCTACCCCACCCCTCAAAAGCTGGCCTCGGCTTCTGCTTAAGACGGTCTTTGTCTTTGTCTCTCCTGCTTTGCTGTCTCTCCCTCTGTCTCTTTGAATCTACCTTTCAGTTCTGGTCTCTCTCGCTGTCTCTCACTGGTTCTGCCTCTGCCTTTCTAGGTCTTGTTCTCTGTTTCTGTGGCTCTTTCAGTGACTCTCTCCGTCTCTTGGGTCCCTGGCTCTGTTTCTTTCCCTTTGTCCCTCAGTGTCTCTGTCTCCCAGTCTTCATCTATGATTACTTCTCTCTTTGGCTTCCTGCACCTCACACTACCCAGCTGCATTCCTCACCAGATGCTGACGATGCCCAGGACCAAGGGCAGGGTGACAGCCAGCAGAAGCCACCGCCAGTCCCGTATCAGGTACCCAATCAGTGCCAGCAGCATGACACCTCCCGACCAGAAGATGGTGCCCAGGACCCCAGCCACTGTGCGGTGCTCCACATCCAACCACTCCAGCTCTAGGCCCAGGCCGGACCAGGGAGACAGTTAGTGGGGCCAGGTGGGCTCTTGCGCTGCCCTCTCTTGTTCCAGCCCTCTGGGCCCTGCCTTTCCCCTGTCTGCCTCACCCAGCGGCAGCACAATTACAGTGAAGCCAGCCAGAGCTAAGCCGGTGAAGGTGCGGGTGATGGCGAACATGATGTAGTTGACGGAGGCCACAGATGCCAGGCCCAGCACCAGGGAGCTCACGTAGGCCACCAGCAGCAGGCGTCGCCGCCCAAACCTGTGAATGGTCAGGCGGTGTCGGTGACCTTAGAGATGCCAAGACAAGGAGCCCCACCCCTGCTGGTGAAAGAGGGGTCCCCCACCGTGCCCACTCCTGTATTCCCCCCAGGCCTCAACCTACCTGTCAGACAGGTATCCGAAGATCACGGCACCCACCAGCACGCCAATGAAGAATAAAGTGGATATCACTTTGTTCAGGCCTTTGTGCTCGCACACCAGGTCCCACTGCAAGCACAGGCAGGTGGGGCCCCCTGTGGGTAGAAGCCCCTCTCCAGCTGGTACCACCCTCTCCTCTCTGGATGCTGGGACCTTCTGAGGACAACCATGCCTATCAGCTACCTCCATGCCAGGAAATGACCTCCCCTCAACCGTTCAGTCCTGCCTGACAGGTGAGAGACTTTGCCCTTCCCCAGTTCTGCAGCTATAGTTCCTTTCCACGCCTGGACCACACACAAGAGTCCTGCGCCTCCCCTCAGGTGGATTCGCAGGCCTGGGGTGCAGCTCGGTGGCACAGCACTTGCCTAGCATGCATGAGGCACTGGATTCCATTCCCAGTGCTGCAGAAAAATGAAAAACAAAACCCAGATAGATTATGTAAATCCTACACCTGGGGCTGGAGACAAGAGGATGGGAGACTGCAGAAACACCCTTCTCAGCTCTGTCCCTGCTCTCTCTCAGGAGCTGCTGTAGCCCTTTCTTGCCTTAGTCACCTCCCAGGGAATGGCAGGAGCAGAGCTTCTGTGGAAAGGACCCTCATTACAGGCTGTGAACTAAACAGCCTGTACGACAGTTTGCTTGGTGCTCATGGATTCTTTCTACAGAGGTGCCAACTGAGACTCAAGGAGGTAAAGGCAGGACTCTAATGCCAACAGCAATCACCCCAGGCTCGTGCAGGCCCATCCCACTCACGTGCCCCTTGCCCACTGGGCTCCGGTACCTCTGTAGCAATGGTGGAAGAGAATTCTGAGCTGTCGTACTCCCAGCCCTGTGAGCAGGGAACTGTGGAGGCTGTGCCCTCCAGGTCCCCCAGGCTCTGCGCCTCTTTCCCCACTGTGGTGTTGGGGCGAGCCCAGGGGTGGGCAAAATGGAGGCAGGAGCTAAATGTGCCATCGGGCTCCCGGGGCAGGTGGGCCTCCAGCCACAGGTGCTGGAGGCTGATGTTGGCGGGGGTGCCAGGCAGGGCACAATGGTGGGAGGGCACAGCAGCCAGGAAGACGGGCAGGAGGAAATGCAGGGGCAGCAGTATCCGAGGCAGGGCCATGAGCACCAGGTTCCGCAGTTGGAAGGGTCCGAAGCCGCCCACCTGATCCAGCAGCCCCTCAAAGCGCATGCTGCCTAACCTGGCTGTCCTGCAGTACCCAGCACAGCCCAGCCTGCTCACCGCACAAACCCTTGGACTCTGGGGTGGGAGCTAATGGGCTGATGAGTGAAGTCTGCACCCAGAATCCAACCCCCAGGGGCTGGCCCAGATCTGGGCCCTCCCCAGACATTCTTGTGTGAAGGGACCCTGCCCGTTTAGTCTCCCGAGGGAGGGGAGGTCCTGCCGTCCATCCAGAGGCCACTGCTCTGTGGCTGTGGCACTTCCCATTGGCTCAGGGACCAAGGAGGGGGGCTCAAGCCACCACAGTGGGGTAGCCGGGTGTGCAGAGCCCCAAGGGCCCCTTAGCCGAGCAGTTCCTGTCCTGGATGCCCTTTGTCCTGTGAAGTGTTAGGTCACCTTTGTCTGTTTTCATTCACAGCAGTCTGGCCTGCAGTCCAGGACTCAGGACTGGTGGCCCAGCCCTTGCCAGGTGAAAGGTTTTTCCGTTGAGCCTCAAGGCCTCCTCTAGCCTCAGCCCTGTCACAGTCCTGCTGCCCCAGGAACCCTCATTCCTGTGAATCCTACTACTACCCGAATTCCTGACCCACAGCAAAAGCCGGGCAAGAGCTGAGGTTCGGCACGCCAGACCAGCAGTACGGGGAAATTGTCAAATTGGGTTCCAAAGAGCTCGATACTTTTATTTTTTTTGATACCGGGGATTGAACTTGAGACCTGCACTTGCAAGGCAGGCTAAATTGCCAGCCCAAGAGCTCTAGATTTCTAAACAACTGAACTTCCAAAGACGTTCTTGAAGAAAAGATCTATGCCAAGGGAGAAAAAAAAAAAAAGTTGAAAACCACTAATTTAATCTAGTTCCTGCTTTGAACAGATAAGAAGCCAAAGCCACAGCAGGGGCCTGCTGGTTCGGCAGGGATTGACTAAACAGCAGAGCTGACAGGAGCTGACAGGGCCCTGACTCCAGGCCAGGCCTCTCACCTTTGACCCATGGTGCCGAATGGCCAGTGATGACCCTATCTGCTGTGGGGATGTTCCCAAAGAAAGCTGCAGGAAAGGGGTGTCACGCAAACTGGGTGTGGTCGGTGGCGCAACAGGGTTAAGGTGAGGGCAAGAGAAAGCTGGCAGTGGTGACAGGAGGTGACAAAAGTCAGAGTGGGTCTAGCACAGCCTGTAGAGTACAGAGGAGCCTCGGGCTCGTCCCTGTCCTGAGGACGCTCACAGGAAGTAAGGACCCCCAAGATCAGCTCCTGTCCCCCAGCTTCCCCAGTACCTCCCAGAAAGGCCTCTTCCCTCCGTCCTCCAAACCCACCTGCCCCTGACTGGGCTCCTCGTCCGCCTTCTGGATGCCTGCCCTCCTCTCCTGTCCCTCTTGCTCTCACCCATGCAGGACCCCTCATTCAGTTCTATTAAATCACATCCTTTATATAAATTATATAAAATGCTATAAGCCTTAGTGAGGCCAAACTCGGGCATTGTTTTTGGCTACTGGTTCAGTTTGTACAACAAGACTTTGTCCCCTGCTTTTATCCCAGATGTAGCCAATAATCACACAAGGCCACCTCGGGGGCTCAGATCTAATCTGCAGCCCCTTCCACAGGGACTGGGTCAGCATGAATTAGAACCCTGGTGTCGCCTTATTTTCTGATGTCCTGGGCAATGGCGGTGACAGTGGTGATGCATGAGGTCACAGCTAGACAGGCAGGTGTGAGGTCTAACAGAAGGCAGACCAGCTCTGAACAACAGTGCTGGGTTTGATTGTATTTTAACCACACACAGCCCCAACCTAGGAATTCTAGACTAAGCTCAGCTGCCAAGGTGGACTCTTGGTGCTCACGTGGACACAGCCCCGTAATTCAAATTATCACTGCAACTGTGGGAGGCTTTGAAGGGAGATTAAATTCCTGGGATAAACAGTTTTTTTTTTCTATTTGGGATTGCCTGCAATGAGACTTCCTCCACGTTAGGCCTCCTGGGCTCTTTGCCCCTCTGTCCACTAAGTGACCTTAGGTGACTTCCCCATCTTGTTTGTGTGTGTTTTTGTCTGTTTGTTTGGAGACAGGGTCTTGCTGTGTAGTTCAGGCTAGCCTTGAACTCACTATGTGGCCCAGGCCGGCCTCAGACTCATGGCGATCCTCCTGCCTCAGCCTCCCAAGTGCTGGGGCCACAGGCGTGTGCCACCACGCCCAGTTTGTCTTCCCCATCTTAGCTGGGGCTCTGACAGTGTCGGCGGTGGTGGTGGTGAAGGGAAATGTGCTTATGTGGCAGTAATGGTGGTGACAGAGGTGATGAAGATACATAGCTCCCTGAGACCAAGGCCCTCATTTCTTATTTGTCACTGCTGCAGAGCCTGGTAGCAGTGACTGGTGGGTGATGCACTGTGGGCTTCGGGGTACGTGGGGTGAAGAGGAACATGGAAGCCACTCCCGGGGGCTGTGGGAAATGGGATTTGTCAGATTCCATCTACTCAAGGCCAGATTCCCACCATGTGGACTCCACCCCACCACCTCGGGCAACGCCAGGCTCCTGATGCTCAGGACTTAGGAGGAGTCCTGGTCTCCTTCTGCCCTCTTCCTGGCCTTGACTTGTGCGTAGCCAAAGGGGGAATCTCAGCAGGCTGCAGTGTGTACTGATGGGAGACAGCCCCTCGGCCACCCCAGGGACCCTCTCTAGTGTCCTCCCAGTGCCGTGGTTCTGTCCCCCCATCTAGACTGACGGAGCAACCTTGCTCAGCCCACTCATTTCTCCGGGCCCCAGAACTCAGACCCAGCTTTGACTATAGGTGGAGGAGAGAAGCGTGCGGGGTTGCCCAGGTCCTGGTCTGGTGGTTGCTGATGAGAGCAGGGCTTTGGAAAGTGACTGCACAGCAGAGCTCAGGCTCTGAGAGGAGGGGACGAGCAGGGTCTCTGCACCCACTCGTGCCATCGTCCTCGGCACAGCTGACCCTGCCGGCCCAGCCCTGCTCGCCCTCACACTCCCCTTCCACTCCTGGTTCACCCCGTGACCCACACACCCACACAACCTCACACCTCTGCTCTTTGTCCATCTCTCCCTCTCCAGGGAGTGTCCTCTCCCCTCAAGTTGCCCAACTCGTTTGTTTGTCCTTCAAACTCTGGTCCCTGGAGCGCATCCCTCGGGATCTTCCTTCACTCGCCCAGTCTGGGCTGCAAGAGCTTCGTGTGTCCAGGCACACACCGTGGGGAAGTGAACATTAATCTGTATCTGTGTGCTTGAGGGCGTGAGACGCTCTCACCAGGGCGGGGCGTCTGGTAAAGCCTCTGGCAGTAGTGCAGCTCAGAGAAGGCCTCCAGAGTTGGTTGAATAATTGGGTTGTGTGAATGACTCACTGACTCGACCCTAGATAATGAATGATCCACAGCATTCTTTCACTCATTCAATCTCAATATTAAAACAAATTTTAATTTATTCTTGGCATTTTTTCGGGGGGGGGGACCGGGTATGGAAATTGGGACTTTGTGCTTTTGAGGCGGGTGGTGGAACCACTGAGCTAAATCCCCGGCTTCTTGGGGTTTTTGCTAGAATTAGACTTGCAGAAGTAAGTGAACTTGAGAGCCAAGATGTTCATTTTGGTAACGTTTTGAAATAGTGAAAAATGGGAAAAAAAGACTAATGAAGAATCAATATGGAAATAGTTAAATAGATTATGAAACATGTATGTGGTGGAATATTACATGGCCATTAAAAACAAGAATCTTCACTGTTGCTGGTGGATAAACATCCATCAGTTGGTGCATCCATATAAAAGAATTACTTGACAATAAAAAAGACATGACGTAGGGTTAAGTGCTCACAATATGGAGGTTTCTCAAAAAGGAAGCTCTCACAGAAAGGTCGTCAGATGAGTTCCTTTATACAAAACAACACAAACAGATCTAGAGTCAGCAAGTAGATTAGCGGCTGCTCAGGGCTTGCAGGGGTTGGGGAAATGGACAAGACTGCCGGAGAGTGGGGAGTTCCTCTGGGAGGTGATGGGATGTTCCAGAGTTGATTGCAGTGAGGTAACATGACTCTGAATATACTGAAAGGCCATAGAGTTGTGCATTTAAAATTGATGGGTTGTGTGCTATGTAAATTATGTCTCAATAATCACTTTAAAAAGATAGAGACAAGGGCGGGGGATTTAGCTCAGTGGCGCCACCATGCTTTGTAAGAAGAAGGTCCTGAGTTCGTGCTCAGGTCACAGCAAAAAAAAAAAAAAAAAGATGGAGAGACAAGGCCAGCCTGGGCTATGTGGGGAGTGCAAGATGAGCTGAATTACATAGCAAAACCCTATCTCAAAAAAAATATCTAGGGGCTGAGATTTAGCTCAGTGTTTCTGTCACCTGCCTCATAAGCAAAAGGACCCAAGTTTGTTCCCCAGTACAAAAAAACCCAAACCTATATTTTAACATATTGTGGGCATAAACATCACATTTCAGAATAGATGGTATAATATCCCCCTGCCCTTTTTTGTATTACTAGGGATTGATCCCAGACCTTCCCGCTGAGCTGCAGCCCCCAGCCCTTTCTTAAATTTCAAGACAAGGCCTAGCAAAGTCACCATATTGCAGGCTGCAACTCAGCCTCAGCCTCCCCCGTCCTGGGATTACAGGTATGTAGCCCTTCGCCCAGCTGTACTTCTCTTTTTATTCATAAGAAATACTAGGCATAATCTGTATATGTGGTCTGAGAGAGAGAGAGAGAGAGAGAGGGAGAGAGAGAGAGAACCATTATTATAATCCACACAATCCATAGGAGCTACTCCTGGAAGGTTGGATTGCAGACAGGAGCCTTTCCTGGTTTATGTTTTTAGCATGTGCACAAGTACGTAGGGAGAGCACCGCTGACAGTGCCTACTGTGGCTTGTGTTTAGGTGTCCTCCCTAAGCCTTATGCCTTTTCACAAGTGACTGAATCTAGGGTGTGCAATTGATTCATGGTGGGGTTAGGCCCAAGGGCACTAGGACCCTAAGTCTGAGGCAGGCGGCAAAAGGGAGCCCTTAGCTCTCCATTCGGGGACTTTTTTATTTTTTTGGTATTGGGGATCCAACTCAAGACCTTGTACTTGTGAGGCAGGTGGCAGCACCACTGAGCTAAGTCCCTGAATAAGATAGGAGGGGTAG